GTTCAAATATTTTGTAAAGACATAGAACTTTCCTTTGTCTACACGAACAAACAAAACAGGGTCTTTCATATCGTTCAAAAGTGTGTAAAGTCCTTTACATGAAATAAAGTCTATATTATTTTTCTTCAAACATCTTTCAAGAAGTTTTGACATTTTTACTTAGCAAATAAATTTTAATGAAATGTTGTGGTCGTCAAATATTTTTATAACGTCTGGGAAACTATATTTTAAGTTCAACGTTTCACCTCCTTTCATAACGTATATCTTGTCAATGACATTATATGAAACACCACAGCAACTAATGTCGGGTTCTATTTCTTTGATGTTTATATCGTCTGCCTCTGTCAAAAGTTTCAATAGTTCTTTCAAAACTTCATGAGGTGCAATGACATATGAGTTCACTTTTACAGGGTTGTGTTCGACCAAGTTTAACATTATACTTAAAGCTTGACAAATCTTCTCCTGAGTTTGAAGTTTGTCTTTCAGTTGTTGGTAGTCGTTTCGAATATCTGCAACAGAACTTAAGTCTCTGCTAACTTCAGGATATGTTGGTTCTTTTACAGGAACAATTGTTATACCATCTTCGTCTTCGTATGGTTTCCCCACTTCAACATCTCTGTCTTTGACATTGACAATAACACTTTGACTGTTTGTTTGAGTTGGTGAATTTAACTTCACATCTGCCACCGCCATTAAACCTTTTGAAACACTTACGCTTCTATTTTTCGGAAATGACATTTTACTTAGAATAAAAAGATGGACGTATTCGGATATCTCTTCGAATTGAAGCAAACAAAGTTTACACACACAAACAATACAAATACATTGACAGAATAGTTCTTTATACAAACAATGGAAAATGTTATAGAATAGCAGTCTTTGCTGAACCTAAATATTTTCATAAAGCAAAGAAAGTTGGTATAACTGAAATGGTGAAAGTTCTTGAAGCAGACAAAAATATAACAACAAAAAAAGATATTTTCTTAAAGAGCGAGTTTATCTATAACATATTATGTCAAAAACTGGCGTACTGTCAATATTTGACGGAGAGAAGTCATTCACAGAACAACTTTACTGACTGCTGCCAAATCCTGCTCGATGGAGCTTGTCGTTATGTCATTCTTGCTAGCGAGCGGGCTTAACGGCAGTGCGACAGGATGTTTCTGAGAGCCTCAGATAACGAACAATCTTCAAAAGAACGCATCTCCGTGAAAAGTGTCTATTGGTTTGTAAACTTCTTTGCTCTCCAGTTCATCTGGACCGTCTCTGTCACCAAGTATATTGTCTTTGTACAGTACCAACAGTTGAAATCTCACCGCATACAGTCTTCTGAGTCAGCAAATTGAATGCAAGCCAAAAGTTTGACGTCTTCTCATTTGTATATTGAATTTTTTGACCCTGTACTGAGTCCATTACTTTTCCCATACTGGCATAATAGAACTTGCATTTCAGGTTAGATGGTTGTTGTGAACTTTGTTGGTGTAAAGTTCATGCATTAAATGTCCAATGTTGTATACCTCATATCCCAACTGTAGAAGTATTCTTCTCTTGGAGATAAGATTGCCATCTATGTTATATTATATTAATACCGGGTTGTAGAAACAAGAAATACGTCATTTTTTAATAGTCCTGAAACAGTAAAGAACAATAGTATCTGTTTGCATGTTGAGAGTTGTAAAGCAATTATATCTGTTCTTGGCACGCTGGCGTCAGCACTTGGTTTTCAACTTCACCTGCACATATTTTGACAGATTATTTGGTGTATAGGGAAATAATAGTGAACTGCAATATATTTTAGGCGCTAAAAGCATTTGAAATACTCTGGGTCGCGAACATAATAGATGCAAGTCTGCTTTCTATTCTCGTTGCATTCAAACTTTTCGCATGTAAATGTAACTGGGTAGTCCCACAGCAGTTCATCAGGCACTCTGTCTGGAAATTAGGTTTAATCTTACATATCAGTTGAAAGTTTTGAGAAAACACAGTCTAATCACTTTGTCTTTGCAAAAGTCACAGAACATTGCGCTCCACCACGTTCCATGCTACCAGTAATTGCTGAACTGCGGTCATGCGTTGGTAGCAGAATGATAAGTGTATTTTGCTTGAAGTAAGTTCGATAGATATTTTCCTGCCGAGGTTTGGCCTAAGTATCTTAGAAAACCGAAGATGCAGGAAAGATTTGACAAAGGAACTCTAAGTTTCAAGTTTTTTTACTTTAGTGGCAGCAAGTTCCTCTGAAACCAGAAAGGTTAACATAAATCCTGAACGTTAGGGTCAAGTTTTCTTATTTTCTCAATATTTGCATACTGGTCTGTTTGTTCTCTAGCCTTGTGGTTGTTACTGAGTTTCTTCAAAGCGAAACCATTCAAATATTTGCCATGTTACTGTTTTGAACTAAGTCAGAG